AGCTCCTCACCCTATCTCTAAGGGAGCGCTCTGCCACCCTGCGGAGAAAGCTCATTTCAGCCGCTTGTATCCGGGATCTCGTTCTTTCGGTCATGACCCAGAGCTCATGACCATAGGTGAGGGTAGGAACGTAGATCGACCGGTAAATCGAGAGCTTCGCCCTTTCGGCTCAGCTCCTTCTTCACCACAACGGACCGATACAGCGATCGCATTACTGCGGCCGCCGCATCGATCCGCCTGTCAATCTCACACTCCATCCTACCCTCACTCGTGAACAAGACCCCAAGATACTTAAACTCCTCCACTTGAGGCAGGACTTCCTCCCCAACCCGAAGGATGCAAACCACCTTTTTCCGGTCGAGGACCATGGCCTCGGACTTAGAGGTGCTAATTTTCATCCCAGCGGCTTTACACTCGACTGCAATCGAGTTGCAATCGAATTGCAGTCGAGTGAGTTTTGTTAATAGTATCAAATCAATTCTAACATTGCTGTTAGAAATGTCTGGAACAACCATCCAAGATTGTGACCAGACATTGCCGTTCATTGTTGTCACTTACACTGAAGGAGCGGTCTGTTCATTTTCATCAAGTTTCAAGTTTAAGAGATTTTTTTATATTGGGGGCGTATTCCAATAGTGGTAATATTTTACTGATTGGGAATAGCAGACCCCTTCTTGAACCGCAACTTTACAAGGTGGAGGGCTGAGTATCTCAATGAACCTAGGAGCTTAATGCCCCTGGTAGGGTCTCCCAAGGCAAACGGGTCCTAGGCAACAGACAAGGAAGCTTATGTCACCGGATCGGTGTTACCGGGGCCCCACATGGAAGTAGGCCTGGGGTTGGGGCTTGCAGGCGAGTGCCTTGTGGCCAAGTCTTTGCCTACCCGAAGAAGCGACATGGGCCTGCCTTCGAGTAGGCCCACTATCTGCAGAAAAATTCACAAGGAGGCTACTGCCTTGTACTTTGGGTGGCGGTCGTGGGTGGGGACCCCGACAGCCCAATCCGTGGACAACTACTCTGGCTATGAGGGCACGGAATGTCACCTCGCTGGGGAGGGGGTGGGGAGGGCAATGCTGGCTAGATATAGTCGGGCTCACTTCCACGCACAGTCTGGGCTCTGGGACCCAACTCCTTGAGAGAGACTGGACTCTCTTCTACTCTGGAGTTGCTCATGGTGAGAGGCGGCGTGCTGGCGTAGGCTTGCTTATAGCCCCCCAGCGTGTCAGCCGTGTGTTGGAGTTCTCCCCACTGAGCGAGAGGGTCGCTTCCCTGCGCCTTTGGGTCGGGAATTGGTCTCTCACTGTTGTTTCGTCCTACGGGCTGAGTACCCGGCTTTCTTGCAGACACTGGGAGGGGTGTACTGGAAAGTACTCCTCCCGGGGATTCCCGTGTTCTATTGGGGAACTTCAACGCTCATGTGGGCAGTGACAGTGACACCTGGAGGAGTGTGATCGGGAGGAACAGCCTCCCTGATCTGAACCGCAGTGGTGTTTTGTTATTGGATGTCTATGCCAGTCACAGTTTGTCCATAATGACCACAATGTTCACCATGGCCTGGGCATTCACAGTGCATCGTATGCCCTTCGGAATGCCTCCCACGGGGGGAAGGAGGAAGTGTCTGGGGAGAGGGAAGTCTGGGTGTCCCTTCTTAGACTGGTCAACCCGGCCCCGGATAAGTGGACGATGATGGATTGATGGATGGATAGATGGATAGATGGGATAAGCAGACTTGTAGGGAGTGAATAAAAAAAGTTTTCAAGCAAAACAATTTGCAAGACCTGGAAGCCAGCTGAATATCTAAATGTCTATGACTGTCTTCTTCTTTTCCTTTCGGCTTTGTTCCTTTTTTTTTTCAGGGGTTGCCACGGCGAATCGACGTTTTCCATTTCACCCTATTCTATGACTGTAATAATTATAAATACATTTTAGGATTTTTTTTTTGTAGTAGAGTTGATAGAGTTGATTATTCTTAGCAACACTGAAACACCTCTTTTCTTTGAAATATGCAATGCAGTTAGTAATTTGCACTATAATTAGTGATAATTGGGCCAAACGGTGAAAAATAATGGTTAGATAAGTTGCAACCCTGTTGCATTTCATTTATTTATATGAGCAGTTAATTTCAATCGACCTATTTATTATTTGTTTCATTTCTTGACAGTAAGTCTTTTCTAAAGTCTCTTTTGTCTCTGCTTACATTCCAGTCACAAATGAAGGCCTTAAGAAAAAGTGCTAGCTCTACAGTACAGTATTTTCCGGACTATAAGTCGTACTTTTTTCCATTCTTTGGCTGGGTTTGTGACTTACTCAGGTGCGACTTATATATTTAAAATATATATAATTTCACAGATTTATATTTTTAACTGATAGCCGCTAGAGGGCACTCTAGGCTTGTGATTTATGGCTTATACTCTGGAGTGACTTACATACAGTATGTTTTTTCTTCTTCATTATGCATTTTTTTGGCTTATACTCCAGTGCGACTTATAGTCCCGGAAAAATATTGAACTTCTGATTTGAAGCAATGTCACCTGTCCGAGAAAGTGAACACACAGTTACAAATGCGGGCCTTACTTTGCCGGAGATAATTCAAGTGAGAAAGCAGCATGTCTGCATTGTAAGCCGATGTAAGTCGCATCATGTCTTCTTTGGTCATCTTGCACAGGGACTTTCCATCTAGTGCCTGAAATAGTTTAGCATCCACCTCCTCCAGGACGTATTCTTTGATGGCCCAGTCCACCCACTGCCGCACATGGTCCTGTGTCCAAACTTCTGGATCTGGATTAATTAGTGCAGGGAGGCCAAGTGGGTCAGAGATGAACAGAAGAAGCAAAAATTTTATGTTCAAAACTTTTTCGGGCCCATTACCTTTGCTTACATTATTTCACCATAACTAGATGTTGTACACCTACAACTTCATTTCTCATAAATGAAAGTGTAAAATATGTCAGTTGATTCAGTTTAAGTCTCAGTATGAGTTAGATATTAAATCCTAAAGTCAGCTTTTTTTCCTTTATGAGTTAGATATTAAATCCTAAAGTCGTGCCCATAGAAATTGATTTCAGTAACCGAGCAGATATTTAGGAAATTAAAAAAGATAATGTCTTGCAGCACTTTTTCCTGCAGAAAAGTCAAAATTAATAAACATTATATCTATCTATCTATCTATCCGTCTGTCTGTCTGTACACAAACTCAAATACTGCTTATTGAAATTGGCTTAGTTCCAAGCCATTCAAACGCATATCGGACAGCCTTTTGGAATAATGTTGAGTCAATGCATGTCCGTCTGCTCACCAGCTGGCACGATGACCCGCTTCTCCTCCACAGTGGTGCTGGATGGGCTGTTGGTCTGTGGGCTGAAACCTGGCTCCCCATATGTGGACTGGTATGGCATCATAGCCCCATCATTACTCATGTGTCGTGAACGTCTGGTGGGGCCTGACTCAAGAGGGGCCTTACAACTAAAGCAAAAAAAAAAAAAAGAGCATAACAAATCTGTGTGTAAAGTGCAAGGTACAGTCTAATTTATTTACAAAATAAAAAATAAAATTTGCATCTGTGACACAGACAACAGAGTGGTATTTTAAATGTGCAACAGGTATATTCTGTTGCAGTTTTTCCTTAACTCTAAAGCTGACATCTTGAGGTTTGTCTTCATCGGTCTAGGCAACAGTGAGAATTAAATACTCACCAGGTGGAAGGGGACGGCAATAAAAACAAGAAAGAGCACCTCTTAGAGCTATTGAAGGAGAAATTCCTGTCTTCAATTCCTTAGTTTGTAAAAATTGTCTCATACTAAATAGACCTAGGTTTTACACTGACTAGGTTTTTTTTTTTAATCCCTTTTTTTTTTTTGAGTTTTCTTTTTTAAATCCTTGCACTTTGTTTGTTGACTTACTTATACAAATGTTTGACTTTATACATTATTTTTTTAATTCACTAGGTGGCAGGGGACAGCCACAAAATTGAATTCTTTCAATTCCTGAGTTTGTCAAAATTGTGTTCAACTAAATAGACCCGGGTTTTACACTATGTTTTTTTAAACCTTGCAATTTGTTTGTTGAATACAAATTGGTTGACTTAAATGACTTTCTAAAGGATGATTTTATGACCTGTGCTCCCCTGAAGTCATGCAGCTGCTCCCTACTCACCTGCTCCCATTGATGTTCTCACTCCTTTCCCCAGTATTCTGGGAGACTGACTCCACCCACTCTGGCTCTTGGGCCTGAGAGCTCTGCTTGGAGGCCTGGCTTAACCCGCTGGGTGTTGTCATCTCAGTCTTCATCTGTAGAGCTGGAGGGTAGGGCTGCTCAAAAATTGGCTGTTCTTCACTCACCACAGACAGGGCTTCCTGTCCCCCCCCCAACCCAAAAAAACACAATGGTCAGTGTGAGTGTCTTTACGTGTACTTCACTGCGTTCATAATTTTCATGTTGTCTGTTCAAACCCATAGGAATAGTTTCATTTGTGTACCTTGTTGATATCAAGTACCGATAAGCAATAATTGGTACTTTCTGTTAGGTTTGAATAAATATGCAATTAAATGGACGGCAGTGAAATATAAGTGGCGTGGCTCTGTGACACGTTGTGACATGCAGTGCATGGTTGCTCAAACCCAAACCACTGGGAGGACACCAAGCATGAAAATGCTTACAGTCGGTTTTTTTTTCTTCCTATTAATAGTAGGTCATTTAAAGGCAAAAGAAAACGAATATTTCTGTATCAGACACTAACTATTTAAACTGACAGTAGCATTGCAACTGAGAGGAGAGAGAGTTAGCATTGTGATATATTAAATTGCTTTGTATTGTAACAGAACAAATCTTTCAGTGAGTCTTGCTCATGTCATTGAACATGACCTATTTAACAAACACGTTGAAATAACAAACAAACAAGTCGCACTTTTTTTCATCCTTTGGCTCGGTTTGAGACTTATACTCAGGTGCGACTTATATATTAAAACATATAATTTCACATATTTTCACGTTATTTTCACACTGACAGCCGCTAGAGGGCACTCTAGGCTTGTGTACCTGTATTTGCTACTCTTGTACACTGACAATTTACATGTTTGTTATCCCTGTATTTGCTACTCTTGTCCCACTGACAATTTACATGTTTGTTATTTTCGCACTGACAGCCACTAGAGGGCACTCTAGGCTTGTGTACCTGTATTTAACAAACAAGTCGCACTTTTTTTCATCCCTAAGGCTCGGTTTGCGACTTATACTCAGGAGCGACTTATATATTAAAACATATAATTTCACATATTTTCACGTTATTTTCACACTGACAGCCGCTAGTGGGCACTCTAGGCTTGTGTACCTGTATTTGCTACTCTTGTACACCGACAATTTACATGTTTGTTATTTTCGCACTGACAGCCACTAGGGGGCGCTCTAGGCTTGTGTACCTGTATTTGCTACTCTTGTACACCGACAATTTACATGTTTGTTATTTTCGCACTGACAGCCGCTAGAGGGCACTCTAGGCTTGTGTACCTGTATTTGCTACTCTTGTACCTCTGACAATTTACGTTTGTTATTTTCACAGTGCCGGCCGCTAGAGGGCACTCTAGGCTTGTGTACCAATGTCTGCTACTCATGTACCACTGAAAACTTACATGTTTGTTATTTTCACAGTGACGGCCGCTAGAGGGCACTTTAGGCGTCCGTACCAGTATTTGCTACTCCTGTACCACTGAAAAATTACGTTTGTTATTTTCACAGTGACAGCCACTAGAGGGCACTCTAGGCTTGTGTACCTGTATTTGCTACTCTTGTACCACTGACAATTTACGTTTGTTATTTTCACAGTGACGGCCGCTAGAGGGCACTCTAGCTGGCTGGTGTAACTTATATATGTTTTTTTTCTTCCTCATTATGCATTTTTTGGCTGCTTCGACTTGTACTCCAGAGCAAGTTATAGTCCGGAACTACGGTACTATCCATGAGGGCAATGGGACACTCAACTAAAGACAACAAAATACACTTGCAGGTAATTACAGAGCCATACTGTACATTCAGATAACTTTACATTAATCATAATGTGTAGTTTTAAGGATTTGTAAAACTGTAAGTTTAAACAAAAAGATAAAACAAAAAATAACAAAGCTATGAGTCAAACTGATAGCACTATTACAGTCGGTGCCTTGTTATTATTTAAAGATTTTTTTTTAAGAAGTGAAACAGAAAAAAAAAATTTCTAATGCAAAATGCAGATTTGACCATGATCTATAACAGGAGTTAATTTGTGAAACATGCAACCACTTTTGTCATTACAACTCTCTGAAGTTAGGGGAACAGGGGGAGGCTTTATCTCTCTGGGTAAAGGGCACGTTTCATCTCAAGACCCCATCTGTTTTTTCTTTGTCTGCATGTAAATGAGTGGATTGGATATGAGAACGGTTGTCTAAAGTTAGTGCAAGTAAATGTTTGTTTAGAGGACTCGGGCATTGTCTCAGGACCTTGTACGTCAGCGGCGAGCTTTGTCAGGAAACCTGGCCGCCCATGTGCAGAGGAACCTTTTGGCACAGACTGAGAGAGAGGAAGTAGTGGTGGGGTGGAGGTACAATGTGAAAATGTGGGTCATTATAAGGCTTCAAAACAACATTTAAACCCTGTGAAGTTGTGGTGGCGGTGAAAAGACTACTAACTTAAATCAAGTGCAGCCTCTACTTTTCCGTAATTACTTGCTGTTGTTTTTTTTTTTTCGTCATTGTTGCCTGAGCATTGTTAAGTAAAATCAGCGTGGCATTTCCTGGTGACTGCGGACATGAATTCCTAATGCACATGACATTTCGTTTGAGTTGTCAGGTATAGTCGAACATCTGGCTATACATTTTAAGTTTTGTCGAATTTTACGTTTTAGGTATAAACCCCATTCAAATTCACATTAAATTTTTTTTTTTGTCGGAGGGCTCTCTCACCACCACTTGATTTTTCTTTTTGCTGTATAGACAAGCAAACTTAGCTGGGTTTGCTCTGCTCAGCCATCATATAGAAGGGTATATCGAGGTCATCAAAGACATAGCGTGCAACCATGGACTGTCCACAAAGATAGGAACCTCAACGCACCACATAAATCAAATCCCAGCCTAGACGGAGACCTCTGTAAGTGGCGTTTGTTTGTGCTAGGTTCTTCTATGACATCACCCCCCCCGTCCCCCCCCCTAGAGATATACATATATACATATATATATACATATATATACATATATACATATATATACACATATATATGTATATGTTTATACATATATATGTATATACATATATGTATATATACAGTATATATACATACTGTATATATAGACACATACAGTATATACACATATATGTATGTGACAAAGTGTAGAACAAGTCAAAAGTCAAGAAAGTGGTCTTACTGATCTTACATAAAACCGCAAAGCTGAAAGGTGAGAAAAACATGCTACATACTCGGAAAAGGGTAGATGCAAGTCCAATAGATGCTTCAATTTAATTCTTCTCCTAAGTGACCGTAAGACAAGAGAGTCCAAGAAATTAGTAGTTTGCAAAGGGAACGATGGTAGATGGTGAGCCATTTAAATTAATTAAAGATAATTGAATACAAAATATGGATGGAATTCTCTTTTGTGCAAATCCCTTGGACTGAGGTAGGGACTATGTACATAGCAAAGTTTAATTAACTGGGTTAATATGCGTTTTAAATATTAACTCTGTAGAAGAAATATTTGTTAACTATGCTAGTGTTACTCTCATTTTAACACATGGTTTTGGTTTTGGTTTTGCCAAATTCTGTGAAGAGTTCTACTACTTTTGAATTGGATCCTAGATCTAAAAGAAATGAAATGATTTTAAAAATTCAAAAAAAAAGTGTAATTTGAATAAAATTGAATTTAATAAAAAAAAATCTGGTAAACCTTATTCCTTTAAAACTTTAGAACAATTAAAATCTTTTTTAAGATTGTTGAAACCAGATTAACAGGATGAAACAAATGAAGCAAATAATGGGATGCAAAACAAATTGGTCTGAAAGAGAAATTCGAAAACTCAATGAATCATGTGACGTTACATGTAAACTATTTGTTTTCATGTTTACAATACAATACAACACTCTCCCTTTATGAAACTGGAGAGAAAGAAAGCCTTCTTCACTGGATGGAATTTTAATATACAATATTAAAGATTTTTTTTTAAGTTTTACAATCACATCTGGTCTTACAACCTACTAGACCGCAATAGTTTACAATCTGGCAAATATGAAATAAATGTGACTGCATTTGCACTTTAAGAGTAGAAGGCACCTGAGGCTACAGGGAAGGGTAAAAATTGGAAGAGTAGAAGGCACCTGAGGCTACAGGGTAACACCGGAAATTGGGATTGATTTCAACCTTAGTGATGAATGTTTTAGATTTTGATAAGTATTGGAGTAAAAAAAAAACAATTCTTAATTAGTTATATGGTAGCAAGGCAGAAAAAAAAATGTGTTAGTCTTGATGAGTTTATCCACACCTCAATCAACTTTACATGCCTAACCCCAGTTATCTGGGCTAGCATACAACATACACACACCTCTTTAGTATTAAATTACAGTCAAATGTCAAACTGCAAAGGGAAATGTAGAACACATGGAGGCTAGTCCGGAGTAAACCTGATCTTTGTGTGTAAAAAATCAACCATATCGGTTAATATGTTATTTAATTTTACGGTTTACGGTTATTGTATTTAAAGGGATTCAGGGCCTTAACCACAAACCTCACTGCACCTGCTCGAGACATAGGCCGGGAGAACAGTCTCAAAAAACTCTAAAACAAAAGTATTGTCAACAAGTTTACGTCAACGTCGTGATACCAAACGTAATGGGTAAAGTTTCTTTAATTTAATTAAAAAGGTGCAACTGGTTTATATGGACCCAGTTAAATAGTGCAGGTCCACGCCATAGGCGTGCTGCGTTTTGGGGGCCTAATTCTAAATTTGTAGTTCCTTCGATACGTTTTCGACAAGAAAGAAACAGGTTAAAAAACAAAACAAAAACAAAAACAAAATAAAACAAAGCTCCGTTTCTTAGTAGAAAGTGCGTTTACGGAGAAAAACTTACATCACCCGCTGTTTATGACACATCTGAAAAGAATGCTGCTCTCTCTCTCTCACGCACAATCTTTATTTTTCCTCTCTCTGTCTTCTCCTCTACACTACACTAGTGTCACGACGTTTGAAGTCGAACTCAAAGCGTCTCTAAAAGAACGAACGTGAAGGTAGAAAAAAAAAGGAAACCAAGAATAGCGAGAAGAGATGCAAACAAATAAAGAGACGTCTATCGTGTTGATGGCGCAGTCGTTTGACTCGTCGTTGCTTTTTACATTAAACTGTTTCGGTCGAGTTTGTTGTTGTTTTTGCTCAAACAAGAAGTCGTTTCTAACGAAGAAGCTCACAGTAGCCTGTAAGGTGTATTATAGATAGATAAAGGTCAGAGTTATGTGATCCTAATCTTTGAAACAAGTTTGAAATGTGTGTGTAGTTTCACTCAGAAAGTGAGATTGTGTCCTGGTCTTACTAGTTAATCAATGATAAACCTCCAAGTCTTTAGACTAATTAATTAAGCTTTTTAACTTTTTTTTTGGTCAAATCAGAACTTTTTATTTACTAATTAATGAATAATAATAATAATAATAATAATAATAGTAATAATAATAATATCGTTAAAAATCTAAGAGGCCAAAAGTGAACATGCCAAAGGGAAAAAAATAAAAATAAATAAATAAATGATAAAAAAATACCGTGTAGAACATTTCTATTTTAAATTACGTTTTCTAAAATGTTTTATGAATTGGCCTAAAATAAGGAAATTATATATTGAACGTTTATTTTACTTTAAATTATTTAACACGACACCAACAACTTATCCGTGATGTGTTTCTAAAATATTCGATTAATTAATAGTCGTAATGAAATGTCCAACTCCCCGTTTTATAACGTCGCAAGACATTATGGCAATGTGTGTATCAATAAAATATATTATGTAGGGTAAGCAAGGTGAAACACACGTAAATAGAAAATAAATTGCCGCCATTTTAAAGGGCAGATTATATCACCGAGAGATGACGTATGGAACTGGACCAGCAAACGCTTTCCTGTCATAAACGCTGTCTGAACCAATTCAATATAAATTAGTAGGAACGTCATCGGACCGTCCTGTCTTCAAGCAACAATCATGGACCCATTGCTAAAACCAAGTAAATCCCGTATATTTTTTTTTCCTCAAGTGACATTTAAGTTTTTGCAATAAAAATATAAACAGCCGATAAAACCGCCGTTTACGTAAAAATAAACAATTGAAAAGAAAATGGTTATTATACTGTTGAACTTCTATTAACCAAGACATTAAGTAGACTTTGTTTTACAATGCTCGTAGAAAACCCGAATAAAATCACACGATGTAATCTCTGTACCTTAGACCTTTTCACATTAGGTGTACATAATTAATAATTTATAATAGAATCCCCTTATCAAATATCAAGTGACACGAGGCCTACTTAGAAAACTCGAATGCGGTTTTCAATCACTACCTCAATTACTACAAAAGTGCTCTGTGAGAAGGGTGATATAAAAGTGTGTTTAGAAATAATTCTATACTTAAGTTTGCATTATTATTATTATTAATAATAATAATAATAATAATATACAAAATTAGGTGTAGCCTCTATATAAACAGGCGACGAATTGAATTGTACAAGTGAATGTCACTCCCTTTCTTCGCCTCGTCTGAGGCAAGTTGCAGAAAGCAGAAGTAAAAGTTAAGTCAAGCTGATTTTGCAAAAGCCTTGGCAGCTGCAGTTACAAACAACGGTGCAGTTGGTTTAGCACAGACTAACACGGCAAACATACACAAGGGGAAGGCGGGGGAGGGGAGGAGTATTTCACAGGCGCTTTTGTTGCGACACTTCTATGAACCATTATCAGGCAAAATAAAAACTTAATCCATACCCGAGCATAACTAATTAAAACGTTCCACCATTTACCAATTGACATTCTGTTCTTTATTTGAACGATAGTGACGATCGGAAATGATGGGAAGGGCGCAGTGCTGGGGTAGAATCAGAGCAGAATTAAAACAAGGCACTTTTAGAACACTGCATTTCTCAAGGTGATGCTTTTTTTGTCCAAGGAACGGAAATGTGCGCGGAAAGTTAGAGGTTTAAGACAGGAAGCGTGTTGGGGTGAGATAACGACACCTGACAAGTTGTTCCCGCTTGCAGCAGCAATAAATTATACTTAAACGTAAACCTTAGAGAGAGAGAAAAAAAAACAACCAAAACAAAAAAACCATCTCCGCTGCTGACAGGACTCCACAGGGGAAAGCGCACCAGCAGCATCTACGTACCTGCACTTTCAACACTCAAGTTTAAAAACTGCACTGATTCAGTTCTTTATTGTTTTGTTTTTTTTGTGCTGCGTCGACTCTGTTTAAAAAAAACAAAAACAAATCAAAAGGCCACGGAGCATGAATGCACCCGATCTTAAGTTATTCAAGCAAAAGAAAGAGGATAACGAATATATCAATTTTCAATCGCATTTTCGTTATTTTCTAATGCATTTTACTTTCACTTTTAACGGATAAATAAATAAAGATAAACAGTATTTAGTTAGCCAAGAGACCGTCCAGAAACAAATCAAAGGCCCAAAAAATGTTACATGTCTAGAGGGAGCCACTACCAAGTGACAGGCCCTATTGGGGTTCATTTATACATATTATTTGATGGATTTGTTTCCAAAAACACATATACAAAGATACACGCATATACAAAGGCTTTAAATTAGCCTACAGAAATTGACCATGACATTGTGGGGGGGGGAAACAATGAAATGTATAAAAATACCAGTCATCTTAGGTGATGTGATGAAGTGACGAAAGTTAGCCCCGCAGTATCCGAATAGATCCCTGATGCCAACAACGACACCTGAATTCCGAGCATCATCTCCGTTAACAACTTAGTCGCTGTTTAAAGAGATACTGGAGTGTCGCAGGCTGCCGCTGCTCGGTTCACTGAGCTCTTCTCCGCTTCATTTTTGACGAAACACTACGGGGGGGAAATAAAGTACTGGGGAACGGGGGGGGGCGGCGTCGGTTGATCTAGTCTGAACAGGCAATTAGTGTTTTTATGTGAGTGTTAAGATGTGGTGGTTAGTTTTGTTACAGAGCAACATACA